ACATCTGATAAACAAAAAAACTTGGTTCTTGATATATTTCATGTTCATTTGTAAAGTGCCAACAATTAAAAGTATATATTTTTTTACTTTGGAATCATGAAATTCAATACAAATTTCAATCCGCGCTGTCCCTGCATATGTATAGCAGCTTTCGTTTTGCCACAGATCATCAGTTCAGCCTCATTGTCATATGTCGGTGAAGTATTCTGGTGAAATAAGACGAGCATGTCATTTCTAAAAACCTATTTGTGTACGTATTATTATAGTACTATTGAACAAATGCAAAACGTAAATTTTGAACGTGTTGGATAATAATGTAGTTTATATTCAAGATATACAGCCTAAACTATCTGGTCTGAAAGGCAACAAGCAATTACTGCACTTTTTCTTTCCAGAGACATTTTCCCCTCTTTTTATTGCGATGATTTATTACTTGAAAGGCCCAAAAGTTCATATAATTGATTCTTGGCTTGGCCAATCCTTCTGAGTGGGTATGAGCCATAGTTGAGGCATCATCATCACCACCACCACCACCACTACCTACCTTGGGAAACACCAGATGTGACATCGCAAATGTTAGATGAAGTGCCGTTAACCACTCTAAATTGCTGACGGGATGACAAGAAGTTGCGTATCCAGGAGTGTGTTAATGAATCAATGCAGAGAGAAGACAATTTAGAGATTAAACGACCATGAGAGACAGTATAAAAAGCTTCGGCGAAATCGAGAAAGAGGCAATCCGTCTTATAATTGCTGTTCATATTAAAGTGACGGTCAGTGGTAAATTCGAACAACTGAGTATCACATGAGTAGCCTTTCCTGAAACCATGCTGATTAGAGAAAAAGAAGTTATTCGATTCAAGGTGATCATAGATATGAGAAGCTATATTATGTTCAAGTAGCTTGCAAGATATGCACGTTAGTGAAATGGGTCGATAGTTACGGGGCAAGTGTCTGTCACCGGACTTTATAACGGGGACTACCTTGCCAATCTTCCAGTCCTTAGGCAGTTCACCAGATGACAAAGACTGGTTAAAGATAAGACTCAGAAAGCTACTGGAAATATCAGTGGCGTTCTTCAGTATATTAGAGTTGATGCTATCAATGCCTGATGAAGTAGAGACTTAAGATTCCTGCTGAGGTTCGCGATACCTTCTGCAGTGATATTGATGGGAGTCATGAAAGGGAAGGGCTGATCAGGGACAAATGGTACACTGGAATAATCCTCTTTTGTAAAAACTGTGGTGAAATATGCATTGAAGGCGATCGCGGAAGCTTCATCAGAAAGCGGGGTTTGTTTAGCATCATGTGAAGTAACGCAATTTGAAGATTTATTGCAAAGAGAGATTATCTGCCAGAAAACTTTAGAATTATTTTTGATAAGCGAGGGCAAGTCCTGCGAATAATATTTCTTCTTTGCTGCGCCTAGAGCTATACAGTATTCTTGCAAGCAAGCCCTGTATTTTTCCTAGTAGAAAGCAGAAACATGGAGTTCTGCGGTAGTATACGAACGTTTCTTTTTATTTCTTGATGTTCGAAGCTGCTTTGTAAACCAATGGTTAGTCTTATCGTTGGATATAGAGATTAGAGGAATGTAGTGGTCAACTAGGTCTAATATTTTTTCTTGAAAAAGAATCCAGTAGGTGTTTACGGTCCGTGAGGCAAATGACGGCAGAAAATACTCGTGATAAAATATTTCTAAGTCGGTGTCAAATTTGTCATAGTCATCACGGTTATAATGGCGGATAGCTTTAGTCACTGCACCTGTAAACATTACAGGTAGGTTCATCTGGAAATGAAAGAGCTTGTGGTCACTAAATCCTTGTATGCATGAAATCGCTCCGGTAGTTTCAGGTGCATTAGTAAAAACGATGTCGAGTATGTCGGTACAACGGGTGAATTCCTGAACAACTTCTGGCAAGTTGTAGTCGAGAGTTACTTCTGAAAAATTTGATAAGATGCGACATGTGGTGGACATAGTAGACCAATCAATGAGCGGGTAATTGAAATCACCAAAAAATGTATATTATATCAGCTGAACACAGCTGTGTAGCTCGCTCTATGTTATCACGCAGAACCTCGGTGAAGGGTGGAATGTTCATCCGGTGGGCGATAACATGATCCTATAAGTATTTTGGCATGATATGTAATGCATACAGCCCAAGTTATCTTTATGGAAGGGTTTGTATCAAGGTGAATTGATGTGACTGTATTTTTTACCGCAATTAACACGCCACCTCCTCTTCTATCGACACGGTCACATCGATATATCTTATAGTTGTATTTGTCTGGTAACAGTTCTTCGTTGGTTACTTCAGGATGAAGCCAGGTCTCCATGAGTATTAATATGTCTGCATCACTATCATCTGAGTAAGAGCACAATTCAACCCTCTTGGGCAGTAGGCTTCGAATGTTAGTAACACACACACACACACACACACACACACACACACACACACACACACACACACACACACACACACACACACACACACACACACACGTATATATATATATATATATATATATATATATATATATATATATATATATATATATATATATATATATAAGGGAAACAAGTGTATACTTAAGGACTCGTTTTTCGTGTTTTACACAATATTAATGAGATCTAACAGACAATGATGCCAAGGAAGGCATAGGGGAAGTTATTAGGCCAATTGTAATGTAAATGAGAAGAAAGAAAAGTGGGTGAAAAGATAACTTGCCGTGGGCAGGATCCGTGGTAGAGCATCGAACGCGTTATTCGAAGGTCGCAGGTTCGGATCCTGCCCACGGCAAGTTATCTTTTCACCCACTTTTCTTTCTTCTTATTTACACTACAATTGGCCTAATGACTTCCCCTATACCTTCTTTGGCATTATTGTCTGTTAGATCTCATTAATATTGTGTAAAACACGGAACATGAGCCCTTAAGTATACACTTGTTTCCCTTATTCATTAACGAGGGTCTCGTACTGGCAGACTTAGTGCCTCTAGGTTGTATACGGGGGACTATTTGTCAGCTGCCCACTCGTAATAGGTTCCCGTTCTACGTGACGACAAATAGGCTCATAAAAGTGTGATACACTCGCCGCCATGGCTACTGGTGGCGCTGACTGACACTCCCATGTTTAATTCACATATAAACCCTATAAAGTGGCGGGGGGGATAACTGTCGTGGTAGCTCAGTGGTAGAGCATCGAACGCGTTATTCGAAGGTCGCAGGTTCAAATCCTGCCCACGGCAAGTTATCTTTTCACCACTTTTCTTTCTTCTCATTTACATTACGATTGGCCTAATAACTTCCCCTATATACCTTCCTTGGCATTATTGTCTGCTAGATCTCACACACACACACACACACACACACACACACACACACATATATATATATGTATATATATATATATATATATATATATATATATATATATATATATATATATATATGTGTGTGTGTGTGTGTGTGTGTGTGTGTGTGTGTGTGTCACGTGGTGTAGGAATACGTTATTCTCACACCGTGCCCGATTCCAGAGGCAATCAAAAACCACATTAGGTACAGAAAGCTTTCGGAGAGTGGCAGTGCATGAACAATCAATCAAATAAGTAGAAAAAGAAGGTGGCTTTCCCGTTTCAGTCGTCTTAGGTGTGTGCATAAGGAGACCTGTGAGTTTCTTGCTGCTACAAATTGTTTTAGACAGCTTGTCCAACTTAATTTTAGTCACAACAAAAACAAATAATAAATCTAGTCACGAAGCAGTCACTAAAAAATACACTCTGTATTCCCGCGAATACGTAACCTGTATGTGAGGGCGTTTTCGCATTCTTACTACAGTGCCTTAATTTAGAAAAACCATCCGGTGTAATAAAACTGAGCCTATATAACAGGTCCCTGATTAAGGAGGTGTTGGCTCACGTTACGAGGGAGCATTGAGCAAAGCGAGAGAAAGAAATAAGGAACGAAAGAAGAGCAGAAGGTCAGGCATGCCCTCACCCTACCGCCTTGTCATGCTTGATTTTTTTTTCTTTCGGTATGGATGTCATGATTCATACGAAGCCTACATTTCCGTGTCTTCATAGATAAATAAAAAACTAGTAACTTTAAAATTAACCTGAAGTTTCCCGGTACGGTGTACCTCGATTATCATCATATTGTGATTTGAAACGTATGGTCCTCTAATCATGTTTAACCACGACTCTTGGAACAGGTTAAAGGGATGCTCCGGTACATTTTCGACAACATTGAGATAATGCCTTCCAGTAACGGTGAGGGTGGTTCATTTTGCCGAGTCATTCGTCAGCAATCGTAAATAAGCAATAAACAACGAGCCAAAGTAATTCCAAACCAAACAAAGGAACTGCTCCGTGCTGGGTATGCGATGACGTCACAAAATATGCCGCACACCGACACGGCTAGTCAGGCGCAGGTTGTAAACGTATCTCACGTTCATATTTTGTCCCTCGAAAATCAAGTAGAAAGAAAGCTGTGCAAGCCCATCTGAAGTTACCACCAGTATTCAATGCCGAGTTCAGCGATGATTTTGACTACTATGTAAGCGCTGTAGCATCGCCTTTTAATTTGACCCACCGGAACGTGAAGTAACTGACATACCCTGCATCAATTTTCTAATTACTCAATATTGTGAATATCGTAAAAATCATCAGCTGTTTAAAGTTAGCCAGCGGATAGCGTGCATGCTTCATCCACGAAATATCCTGGATGAGCACGTGTGAATTACGAAGTCTCGTGGGTGAGTGTGTTTGAGTGAGACAACAAAGACGCGCTACAAAAGCGTATGTGGTCCATTTAGAATAAATGTAAACGAGGAACTAGATAAAACAGAGAATTTTACTAAAAACCTTAGGGACCGAAACCGAAACTGTGGTATTGCAGTCTTGGCAGCCTTTTTGTACAACTGGTGTTAGAAATCTCAACTACAAGTGGGCGTTTCTGAGTAACAAAGCCAGGGGGCGCGACCACTTCAACAACGCGAATTTATGTGATAAGCAGAAACTGAGGTGTCATACATTTTACAGCATAGGCGACATGTTTTGTATGGTTGCGATGTTCCCGTGGAACAAGTCAAATTGTTAGAAATGCCATTATTCGTATGAAGTTCTGGGCGTGTCGTCGAACCGCTTAACAGAAACATGGCTCTCTCATAACGCAGCTGACGGTGTTGACATGTTGCCTTTATAACGATGGTAGTGTGGCGTTACGATATCTGTGGCTTGCTTTGCGTTTGTTCCACTTATGGATCGATTATTTATGCCGATTATGCTATCGTCGAGTGGATGGTCATTCCGACGATGTACTCAAGGTGCGTATATGCAAGCGTTGTTCTCACGCTGTCTTGTTCCTACCGACGTTCGCCGTGAATAAAGTACCCACAACGTATACACATGAAACTAATGTACCGATAGAAATTAAACTTCTAAAGTTAACTTAGTTTGTGGCAGCTGATCTAAAGATCTCGGAAACATGCGCACAGGTTGATCTATGAGTGACAGTGTCCACTGTGATAGACGTTCTATCGTTAAAATCAGTACATATGTCACTTGACAATGCACGAAATGATGGACACTTCTGATCGCATACTCTCATCCTGCATCTCTGTGCGAGTTGTATGAACTCGAAGTTTACTATCAGCACAGGTGTGGCGTTAACAGAACATCGCGCTTCTATGGCACTAACTTCAGCTGCTCCAAAACGTCAGTAAACATCCGTGCATTCAGCCCATAGGTTCCTTCGCACAAAGCTAAGCACGTATTGAACATGTGCTAGAATATTGTGTAATATAGCTTATACTGTACGTGAAATTTTATGCAGTCTCTGGGGAGCATTCAATGTGGTCTGCTTCAACATCATCGTGTTCTTGACACTGATGGCACATACCAGAGCGGTGTTCTCGGACCCGGGAACTGTCCCTCTACCTCAGACGAACTTAGATTTTTCGGATGCGTTGAGGGCTAACAAGCCTATGGATGACAAGGTGAGGACTGAAGCAGAACGATTACATTTCCCTTTTGCCTTATCAAGAACCATGGATGTACTACACTTTTTTTGTAATTAAATGTATGTAAGGAGAGGTTGGTGCCAATGCGTGGTGCCGGCTACTCCTCTTCTCTTGCACAAAAGTCAGCATCGCACATTTTGTAGCAAAACACAAGGCTATATATATAGCACAACACTGTAATAGCACAACACTTACACAATGAGTTCACGTTTTTCCACACAGAGTGTCCACACCACACAGAAATGAGTCCACACTGCGAACTGTGTCCGCACCACACTAAGTTTGTAAAAAAAAAGAAACAAAAAAGCCACACAAGTAATCACGCCAATTTAAGTGTTCACACAAAAACGTGAAAGTTCAATAAAATGTCTAAGGTGATCTTGTCGCTTAAATACTGGCATGTTTTCAGAAAGGTTTTCCCAAAAATATCGTAGTGAAACACGAAAATACTGTTTTGAAACATATCGCAGTTAATATTTGTTTTTTGTTTAGTACTTTCGAGCTATTTCTGATTCCTCCAGAAAGTGAACGACTGCACCTGCTGCAGTGGCTTGTAGCTTTCCTTTTGGCCATGGACCCAAGATTTTTGCAATTGATGGAGGTCACTTATCCAAAGAATTGAGTTTTTGAAAAGGTTCTTTCGAGGTACGTCATGATTTTTACAATGCAGAAGAATATGCTCCACGTCTTCTTGAGCTTCCCACCTGAGCAAGTAGGACTGCCAGCTTTCCTTATTCTATACAAGAAAGCCTTCGTGTAGGCTGTACCAAGTCGAAGCCTATGGATTACTGTTTCTACCGATCGGCTAACCTTTAACGGAATATTCAATTCTATACCGGGATCAATGTTATACAACAGAGAGTTTTGCGCACCATTTTCGAACCAGGTTTCCTTAAACAGTTGACAGCTCAGCTTATTTATTAGACACCGTGCATCGCTAATCGATAGAGGCAGCAGTGATATATTATTTTCTTGATGTGCTGCATGTGCAATGTGACCAGCTATGTCGTTTCCTGTGATTCCACAGTGGCTTGGCACCCACTGGAACATTATGGTGTGGTTTAAATTTTTTGCTATAGCGTACGTCCTCTGTATTTCATATGCGAGCTCACTAGCTTTGTTTCCCAAGCTGACTTCTTTTAAAGAAACTAATGAGGACTGTGAGTCACTGATAACTACCCATCGAAGTGGACCTGGCTGTAAACATATGAAGCGTAAAGCACAGAGTATTGCATAGAGTTCTGCGGTTGTGGATGTTGTGAAATGGCTGCGTTTAAAAGCTTTCCTCGCTTGGTATGCAGGTACGAAAAATGCCAACGTAGAGCTTTGACTCAGACATGATCCGTCGGTGTACACGTGAATATAGTCTTCATAGTAGGTATAAAAGTGTGTTAAGGTTAATTGCTTTATCACGATTATGGGCAGATCGTTCTTACAATTTATTCCCGGAATCGATGTTCTAATATCTGGGATAGAGAGTCGCCATGGTGGGTGGGATGCACATGGAGGCCAGTATTTATTCGTAGGCAGTAAACTCTTGAATTCTACTATATTTTTATGTATTCTTGCAGCTGATCTCTCCTGAATAGCTCGGTATAGGGGATGATTAGTGTGTTGAGTTGCCAACCGAAGATAATGCCGGCAAGTTTCCGTAAATCTCATAGCATGGAAAGTCGGTTGACAAGACTCCGCAACTACTTAAGCACTGGCAGACGCTCGCGGTACACCAAGACATATACGAAGGCTTCTGGCCAACAATCTTTGAATCCTCTCCTCTAAGTTACGTGATATCCCATGTAAAACCGGGGCAGAGTAAGCTATTCTTTGTCGAATTATTGCTGAATTTACATGCAATAAAGGAGAACATGAACTACCCCATCTCACTCCGGTTAGTCGATGTAATGTATTGATTAGGGAGTTGACTTAGTCCTCTAATGATTTTATCTGTGGTGCCTAAGACAGACGTCTGTCTAAAATAACCCCTAAAAATTTGTGCTGCCTCACAAGTTGTAAGTGCTGAGAGTCTATCTGAAGTTTGAATGTCTTAAGGCATTTCCTTGTGAACGGAAGTACAGATGTTTTCTCATGGGAAAGAATCATGCCTCTGCTCTTTAAAAAGCCATTGATTATTGTCAGCCCATCTTGAAGTTTTTGCTGAACTGCTTGAATGCTTGTGTCTGATGCCCAAATGCACAGATCGTCTGCATATATGGAATATTTCAAACTAGTAGGTAAAATATCGGATATTTCAGCCATAACGCAATTAAATAAAAATGGGCTTAGTACGCTACCCTGTGGGACTCCTTGACTAACTTCATGCTCTTTACTTTTACCGTCAGCCGTGTCAATGAAGATTTTCCTGCCTCTTAAGAATTCTGCAATCCATCTTAGTGTCCTGCCTACTATGCCCAACTGAATTAAACCGTGTAGTACATGAGCGTGGCTGGTTGTGTCAAATGCTCGCTTTATATCTAAAAATACTGCAACGACGATTCTTCCACAGCTCCTCTCATGATCTACATAAGTTACAATGTCTAGAATGGCATCCATGGTGCAGCGGCACTTACGAAAGGCTGCCATATTTTCCACCCACCACTGAAGTCTAGCGTCCATCATCTTTTCCATAAGATTACAAAGACAGCTAGTCAGGCTGACAGGAGAGAAAGAATCTATGTATAAAGGCGTTTTTCCGGGTTTGAGAATTGGGACCACTCTCGCAACTTTCCAGGAGGCTGGAAGGCACTCTGTTGTCCATGCATCATTAAATATCTTCAACAAAGTCTATGTGGCCACAGGACCCAGGTTTTTTAATGCTGCATATGTTATCCCATCAGGACCAGCTGCTGTCCTCTGTCGGCACACTGCAAGAGCATTATTTAATTCTTGCAGTGAAAACGGGTGATCTAGGTTATCATGATGTCTATTGAGAGAAAAAGTAATCAATGTTTTGATATCCCCAACAGACTTAATGTATTCAGGCGTGTGTCCGGCTGCACTAGGTCATGTTATATGCTGACAAAATTTGTTCGCAACGGTTGCTTCCGGTACATTCTTCACTAAAGCTAAGGCTCTAAATGGTTGTTGATGTGTTACTGTCCCACTTAAAGAGCGTAGAGCATTCCATAATTTTGACTCGGGTGTAAATGGCGTTAGCGAAGTGCAGAATTCCCGCCAGCGCTTTTTGCCTAGTCTATCCAGTAGTCGTCTCATGCGATCATGCGTTCTTTGACAGTCGCGGTAATCTTCAAGTAGACCCGTGTGTCTGTATTTTCTTTCAGCTCTGCGGCGAATGGCCCTAAGTCTATCGTATTCAGCGTCTACTCCAACGTAACCTTCAGGAATTTTAACGAACTTGGAACACTGATTTAATTTATTTTTTTTGAGTGAGACTAAGCTGTCAGTGTCAGTAACAGTATCAGCTTGATGTGATATATGGTAACGAAATGCTTGCCAGTTAGTTATTTTTGCTGAGGGCCTATATTTAGTAAAGCGTAGTTTTCGATGCTGTATTAGGATAGGTAAATGATCACTACCCCTTGTTTCAATGTCTGTTCGCCATGACGCCCCAGATGCAATATCATGTGAGCAGAGCATGAGGTCTAGGCAACTCGAGTAATTGAAACCCCGTAGGAACGTCACTGAACTGTCATTTAACAAGCATAATGAACTATCCTGAATTTCTTTTTGTAGGTCCTTTCCGCGACGATCGCAGTACGCACTTCCCCACATGACATTGTGAGCATTGAAATCTCCGCAATATATCACAGCTTTCGTGTACCTCCGGAAAAGTGCTGTCAATGCAGAGAGCGAGATATTTGTGGAAGGCTGGAGATAAACGCTGACTACTGTTATATTTACTCGACCAAATCTAACCTCACATGCTACATATTCAGGGTAATCCGATGATGTAGTATTTAACTGTACTGATGGCAGATCTTTTCTCACACATATCATCGCTCTGCTCGGTCCTGTAGATCCAGAGGACATATACACAACGTAGTTCGATAACCGAAAAGTGGCGTCTACCCCGGCCTCTGTAATACATAACACTGGAAAGGAGCTCTGAGCCACAAATTTTCGGAAGTCTGCACACTTAGGGCGAATACTATTCGCATTCCATTGGAAGATCGCGACATTTTGATAACAATTATTCATGTTTTGCCTGCGCAGTGACTCTTGTGACTAATTGTAACACTACCTGTTCCATCGACAAGATGGCTTTGACCTCAGGAAGGTTGTTAGCCTGTGGGATCGCCGCTAGTACGGCTTTTAAAGCCGAGAATAACATTGGTATGACAAGATGAGCTATCGACACAGAGGAGTTTTCTGGTTGCGTTACACTTACTGGACGCGATGTGCTAGTGCTTTCTCGGATGTTAACCACGTGGTTACTTTTCTCTCGAGGTCCCTCCTGAGACTCTTGTCGAGCTTGCTGCTGGCTTGTTGATGTCCCCGCACTTTTCCCTTGCTTTCGTTGTCCTCTTGCAGCTTCCGCGTACGTCATTACATGGTCCTGGCGTTTAGGTGCTTGCGATCGAGGAGGCCGTGCAGGGTTCATGGTGTTCATGTTGGGCTCAGGCACGTCATGCTGTTGCGTGCGATCATAGATGATGTCATGTTGATATTGAAGGAAAGCCGCCTTGTTCTGTGGGCATCCAGAGAACGAAGCAGCATAGGGCCCCTTGCAATTGGCACACTTAGGTTGTGTTATCGATTTGCAGTCCTTGTGATGGTGGTCTTCGGCGCATATTTTGCAGCGCCTTGTTTCTTGTCAGTTTTTTGCCAAATGTCCAAACCTCTGACAATTATAGCAGCGTCTTGCTGGGCCCAGATATTCCTCAACTAGATGGCTTGTAAATCCAAGGAATACTTTCTTTTGAAGAGGTCTGTCATATCTGAATTGTAAAATCACACTTCTCAGTGGGTGCGATGCTACAGTGCCATCTTCTTGTCGTATGTAACGAGTCTGGCGTCTAGCCGATATCACTCCTGCCTCTCTTAAATATTCTGTAAGCTGTTTTTCTGTGTACTCTAGAGGCACATGTCTGATTTTGCCTACATTTCGCATGTAAGACTCCGGAATGAATGGCTTCACCAGCAAGCCAGCCACCTGCGCACAGGACAACAAGCTTTTGGCTGAAGCAAGAGAGCTCACGGTGACTGAGAAACTTCGATCTTTGTTCACTCGGAAAGAACGCACTTTCTCTTTAGCAAGTGCAACAATTTCCGAGGCTACAACGTTTGGGTTTACTTTCCAGAAGGTTCTCGTTTCCTCTATTGGTCGGAATACCACAGGAATTCCCTCAAATCTACTCTTTTTATATGTCACTTACCTGAAAGGATCTGCTTCCTCATCAGATTCAATATCTTCATCAATAAAGGAGTAGGTCGATGTCCCCTCCTGCATGTTGTCCATATGCTTTTCCACTCTCCCCTTTTTTCGCAGAGCTTACTTCGTTCGACATGTCCTCAGGTATCCTCATCGCCTCCAAAACGAGTGTTGGTGCCCTAATGTAAGAAACCCTGGTAGAACCAGGTTGACTCACATGCTCGTCGGTTCCGAAGTCACGCTGTGGTAAAGGTGGCCCTTGCCACGCTTGCACATCCTGGCTGGTTCCGTCCGCCACGGTGACGGTGAAACGTCGGCGCTCAGTACCGTCACGTCACTTCCTGCTGTCAGGCGTCACAGCTGATGTTGTCCTCAACACTGTAAGTAGCTTTTCATGGCTGGAAAAACCTAATTTGCAGGAGCACAGAAAGCAAAGAACGTTCTTCTATCACTTCGTCGTCTTCGTCGACCGATGTACTACACTTCATCGCTAATTAGCTAAGGCTTTTACAGGTGATTCCAGCGAGTGGCATTACCCAAAATTCAACATGAGTAAACCCGCATTACTGAAATATTCTAGATGTAGCTGCATTTACCAAAAATAATGGGGTACACTACCATGTCTTCCTGTTATTTGCCACAGATAACTCGCTACTTCTTAATCAACTTAATTTACTTACACTAACAGAACAAGTGATTATAGTTGTTGTTTATCCAACAACAGTAAAATTGCATAAAGCTGTCATGTCTTTTTATGCACAAGGAATGAAGCATATGGGGTCGCTCAGAATGAACTATAAAGAAAACCGATATTTTCAAATATTCGTTGCATGTCCATGATTATAGTGGTGGTTTTCGTGTTCATTCAGTGCACTTGCTTTCGTTTTTTCTCACTAAATAGGGTGACTGGACGATATGCTCTCGCTGTGAAACATACCGGCCGCCACGTGCGCATCACTGCAGAATATGTCAGCGATGCATCCGCAGGATGGACCACCATTGTCCCTGGTGTGTTAAGAGTTGTCGTCATTACTTGCCTTTTACTGCAGGAATTAACTCATTGCTTCTAAAGTATTCGCCGTCCCACAGCCACTAAAACTGCGGCAATCGGGAACAAATTCACCGTAAATGAGCACCCTTCTTGGCGTAATTGAACGCCTTGACAACATTTCATAAAAGGCAATTATTACATAAAAGGCAATTAATTACACAGGCAATGAATTGCCTGTATGCCATGCAATTAATTACGTTCAGGCTGAATGGCCATCTTTTAGAGGCCTTGACGATGCCTCTAAATCAGTAGATTGTCACATGTATGACAGTTACAATCGTGTTTCACAGCACATAATACCACTTGAAAAAAATTTAGGCATACTCAGCAGCTCATTTGTTGATTTGCAACCACTGTACAAAATGGCATTGCCTGCACCTTTCAGCACCATCAATGGGCTGCATTGTTCAGTAGAATAAATATATTGACACTGAAGGAAGCAATACATGGGAGGGTTCGGATACCACAGTTGCTGAAGCAGTGTTGTCCCCATGCTTTGTTGAAAACAAGAACTGTTGTGGCTAAATAACCAGAAGCACTGACGAGTTATGCAACTACGACCTGCTGATAATTAGAGTTAATCTAGGTACACGTGTGTTTGCATTCCCACCTCACTTCAGAGGTAAGCACGTGAGCCTAAGTATTAGAAGCAACACCAATGTACTCTGTGTACTTTAAAGGACCCTCCACAAGGTTTGGGCATCGCAGAAGAAAAGCATTGTGCTCAGATCGCTCAGTGAGAGTTGTATCTGCAAAGTATGATACCGTTGTGTGGCTTAAAAATGTTTGAAATAAACTTCAGATGGGAGACTTGAAGTGCTCTCACTTTCAAGCAGCTGTACTTCCAGAGAAGTGAAATTAACGCGCATGCATGCTCTGTGCTACAGGCACGGCTTGCAATGTTACTTGCCATAGCTCATGTGAAGCTCGTCATGCTGCCACAGTCGGAGATGCGCTACGAATCATGACAGAAAGAGAAGAAGCAGGGCTTGCACAAAGTGTGGTGTGCTCTCCTGGCATCAGCAGGTGGAAGAATGCAGGCAATGCTTGCCACTTGTAAATGCTATTCGAGCCAAAGGGAAGGTGCCTTATGACAGCGGCTGTCCCTTGCTGTTACACCTTAACAGGACTCTTCAGTTTCTTCGTATGTTATCAATAATCATTTGAGCTGGCGAGTTCTTTCAGAAAAATGCACCCTAATTAATGCTTTACAAATTACAGCCTGTAAACACACATTGTGATGGTGCCTTGTGTGGGACCTTTTAAAGGCAATTACGTCATTTATTCATGAGTGGACAGTTTTTTTCACCGACTAATTTGGGAGCTGATGTAATATCACAACCTTTCTCTCCGCAGTGAGAAAGCTAGTGGGTTATTCACTTATGCCAACCATATGTATCTTAATAAGTAGAGCTTTGGTAAAGATTTTCTTTGGCTGAATATTGTTAGTGTTCTCTAAAGCACATGATACGGCGCTTGAGCTTTATAACAGAGCAACATCTGTAATGAAGAGTTCTTTGTGCTCAAAAAGCTTGTGTGTTGTTATGCCTGTGTGACATCCCGTGCTTTTGTGTTCACAGGATCAACAACTGTGTTGGAGAACAGAACCAGAAGTATTTTATTCAATTTCTCCTCTATGTTGGTAAGCAGCTATTCATATACTATGTCTGTTCTTGACTTTTCCTTCACTGAAAGTACCTGTACTTATGTAACATGTACCAAGCCTTATCCTTACACCTTACAGGTTTGGGGTGCCTGTATATAATTGTGTTAGTGGCTGTGTCATGGAACCTGGAATGTGCAAACTGTGTTCATAGCCCAGCTTACAAGCAAAACCGAGTGTAAGTATCGTATTTGCCTTTTGCAGTAAAGCGATGCTATGCAATCACTTTTCTTTGAAGTTGATTCTATGTTGTCAATGCTGGCTGTTGCCTTGAAGGGCTCCCTATACCAAGATCGAAAACTCCAGATGTTTGTGTTGTATGTTGTCCCACATACATGCGCACTTCCGACCGATATAATGGTGAATGTTAACTTTAAGATATTTTACTTTAGTTTTAAAGCAACTGTGTGTTTTTTATCTGAATTGGCAACACCTTATGACATCGCCTTTAATATGACTAAGATGAAGGCACCGAGTGACCTTCTACAAGAAAAGGGAGTATTGATGTCACAGAAGATCTGCAGGGCGCACACGATACCACAACTGGCACCTGACAAGAGCTATTGTTCATCACCCCTCTCGCTCTGTTGTCGTGCTTTTCTCAAGGCAGTCTCAGCTGCTTACTGCAGGAGTGGAGTAAGCAGCCGTTTTTTGAGGGGACGCACATTTTAATAGGCCTAACTCATGTTGAAGCGTCCACATGGATTCATTCATTATCGCGTGCAGGGCCCAGATTTGATAACTGCACTGTCAATGCCATCGGCCATACCATGCTGAATGCGCCGGTTCTTGTCCGATCACCGAAGCTAAGCAGCATTGGTCTTGGTCAGTACTTGGGTGGGAGACCACCTGGGAATATCAAGTGCTGATGGCACCTTCTTTTTCCGCCGCCGCTGTGGTCTAGTGGCTAAGGTACTCGGCTGCTGACCCGCAGGTCGCGGGATTGAATCCCGGCTGCGGCGGCTGAATTTCCGATGGAGGCGGGAATGTTGTAGGCTCGTGTGCTCAGATTTGGGTGCACGTTAAAGAACCCCAGGTAGTCAAAATTTCCGGAGCCCTCCACTACGACGTCTCTCATAATCATATGGTGGTTTGGGAAGTTAAACCCAACATATCAATCAATCACTGTCAATGTCACCAAAGCTTGTGCACATGCGGTCTAGGTGCTCTTCTGCCATGGGACGCTAGATTCTAACAATTTAGGTGAGCTTTTCAAAGTGATGCTCAAATAGTTCAGGATTAGTCACAAAATCACTGATTATATGACATGTCGGCTCATTTGCAATTAAATTTTAGCATTACCAATTTCAGCATACACAAGGCTACTAAATCAGTAAAAAAGTCGCATAGATAAATTTTGGCTGTCATAGGTCCTTTAAAGTTAGATATTTTTTTTTGTAACTGTTGAAACAGCTGATAGTCTCATTCAAGAGCTATGATGTGGGAAGCAGCAAACATGAAAAAGTGGCCTATTTGCATGCATAGAAAAGGACGTATATGGCCACTGAACAGTAACTAATATTTTAATGTGCGAAGAGCCGCTACTTGTGGAAATTGCCTGAGATGTATCTATGATTTCCTGTTGCACTGTGAATGACGAGACAAGGACGAGAAAGGGACTACAGAACAAGTGGTGCAGAAACTCATGACTGGTTGTGGTGACGCACAGACTCACTGCTGGAAAACCAGTTGCGAGTTTTCACACGACGTGTCCTGTAGTGCCTGTCTGGTTCTCGCCTCATCATTCACAGCACAACAAAAAACCATGAACCACTACTAACTAGCCCAATTCATCGCTCTGCTAAACTGAGAAGTGGGCGTGCTTCATCAGCCAGTGAGGCATTGAGCAATCACCCCACTAGCAAAAAAGGAATATCAACTCTGAAAATGAAGTTCAATATAGGGGGATGCTTTATAGATAAAAATAACATAGGGAAGCTGATATACATTGTCAATTTCAACAAGGAAGGATTGTATCTGTATCTGCAATTTTAAATTATTAGGTTCAATGTGCTTTGTTATGTCTCCTTCTCTTGACAGAATCCATTCCGTCTGCCTCCTGGTGGAAAGCATTCTTTTTGGAATATTTGTCATTGCGATCATGTGTGATCAGGTAAGAAGCAACATTGAAGTTCATAGTATTGTGAACCATGGTGAATGTTATTCTTGAAGTAATTGAATAACACGCCATACACACCGATTTGTCTGTAGATGAAAGTGCATATTTTGCTTGTTTTTCACTCCCTTGCCCGAGGTGTGTGTGCTTGTTTAACTTGCAAAAAATTTTTATTCTCACTGATCTCAATGTTCATGGCCAGTATAATTATCCTTGTATCTTGCTACAGCCTTGTGTGAGAGAGAAGTTTATCGATAAACGCGGGAAGGTGGTGAAAAGAGTGCATATTTTTGCTAGCTCACTTCAGCAAAAGGCACATTTTTGCAATGTCACTTAAACCATGAGCTGTTCTCGCAGCACGGATAAGGGAGCGGTGAGAACTGTTCATCGTAGCGCACCACGGCTCTGCTGAAGGAGCCGGAGATGACATAGGTTTCCTCGCCCTCTTTTTCGGCTTGCTCGCATGGGCAAAGCAAGATGAGCTTCTTTTGCGTATACTAAAGCTCCTGCTGTAACAACTGCGAAAAAAATTATGACATTGTCGGCAATAATAACAGTCCTTGCTAACCATGAAGTGCTATTTACTTCTAAAACCTCTCAAGGTTTCTTTTAAATAGGTTGTCATAGGGAAGGGAAATAAAATCTATTCAGGTTGAACAATTCATTTTTCAGGTGTGCTCATTACTCATCTCTCTTCATTGGTTTGGTTTGTCCTATGGATTGAAATCCAGCTTGACAGCATCTACTTAAATAGGGATGTCACACTTGAAAAATGATTGCCAATGGCTCGAAAACAGACTTAGCTTCAGTTTCAGAAGAAGCATACAGCTTTCAATGTATTGCATATAAAAGTTTGTGGGGCTTTGATATACAGGGTGCTGTCCCCCTGCTCTGTCCCCTTGCTCTGTCCCCCTGCTCTGTCCCCCTGCTCTGTCCCCCTGCTCTAGTGCTGTCCCCCTGCTCTAATGCACCATTGACAAAGACTCACACAATCACTGAAGGCACCATGGAAGCCGTCGATGAGAACCGCTTTTAGTGAGGTCGTCGAAGACGCTTTTGCCATCTCCAGCGTGCCATGCCAAGTTCTCTTCAAGGTTCTTTTGATCATTGGACTAAAAGAAACAAGAAAGAACGGGGACTGGTAGGGCTAGCTGGAGGCCGTACAGTGGCTGGAGCATTGCCATGATATCAATATTAGCTTTCAACTTGGAGACAATCCGTGTGGTGCGACTCATTCGTTGGCACCATTTTTTAGAGACTTTTTTTTATTGAAAGATCTTTGGTCAAAACATCAAGGATGATTGTTTTCGATATTCTCACTCCTTTGCGATCATCTGAACAGTTAATCGTCAATCTTTTTCCAATGATGCACTTCCAGCACCGTGTCATTCATTTTTTTATTTTGACGCACCTCCAGAGTTGTTGTCGTAGTTGACAGACCTGCGACTTTTCTGGAACCTCCTGTGCCATATCAAAGTACGAATTTGTTTCATCACGTTGTCACCATAGGTTTGCTGATGCGTTTCAAGCTTCTCTGCGCTATTTTTATTCCAGTTTCAGGCAATATTTGATTGCATGACACTTCTTAAAATCCTCGTCCATTTTTTTCTTGATGAGGGTGCGGTGGACTCCTCTGCACAATGGCGTAACCCGCATCAACAACTACTTGCAGGCAAGCGAAACTTGACTCATCTTGAAGCTTGTCTCCCCCACTAACTTCTGGTGCGGAAGCGTCGCCATGCCAGGTGGCGCTGCAAACTGCAAAAAAACTTTCCGGAAACTTTTGGGACAGGCTTGTACATGCACAGTGCTGATATTCTGGAAGCAGTTGGAACTGTTCGCTGTTGTTAATAACTTGATGCATGTGGATATGACATATCCAGTGCTAACTGTGCATGCAATTACCGTAATCTCTCGAATCTAACGTGCACCTTTTTTCCGGTTAAGGGAGTTCATAAATCGCATGCGCGTTAGAATCGAGTACGAAAAAAAAAATGAATACGGTCATTCTATCGCCATCGGTATTTCCAAAATGGCCGCCCCCTACGTGCGTCGGCATGGCGCGTCGGCCATTTTTGCCTATGTGTTTCCCATGTGCGGCACATCATACGTGTGCTGAAAAGTTCGTCATCTTGTAGTGCATTAGCATTGACGGCATGGAAGGGCCGACTCCAAAAACTCGAGTGCACCACGATGCCGCTTTTAAAAGAAAAATCGCGCATGCAGCAACAGACGGAAATCGGGCTGCATCGCGGTCGTTCGGAGTTCCCGAAACGTGTGTGCGGGACTAGCGGAAACGAAAGCAGAAGATTGTAGACAGCAAAGCTTCACGCAAAGGCTTCAGTGGAACACAGCAGGGTCGGTTTCCGCAAAGTGAAGAGTTTCTCGGCGAGTATGTGCTTGAGCAGCCAGCGGCACAGCAGCCCGTGACGACAGAACTGCTCCAAGTGCGGGCTATGCGATTAGCCTTAGAAAAAGGTATAATGCAGAGCCAGTTTAAAGCAAGCAGATGCTGGCTAACTAACTTTATGAAGAGGAAAGGCTTTTCCCTCTGAAGGCGAACGGGCATATGCGAAAAGTTTTGCGAAGGAGTACGATGAAAAGCTTCACAGTTTTCAGAGGTTCGTCCTAAACTTGCGGCACAACAACAGCTACCTGCTTGGGCAAATCGGGAATGCCGACCAGACGCCTCTTTACTTCGACATGCCTGGCACCACAACCATCGAGAAGAAGGGAGCGAAGCAAGTTCGTGTGCTGACATCGGTCCACGGTAAAACTACAGTGACGGCAATGCTCTGTTACACGTCAGATGGGCACAAGCTTCCCCCGTACCTCATATTTAAATGGAAGACGCTCCCGAAAGGAGTCGTTTTTTCGAGTGGTGTGATCGTGCAGGCCATAGAGAAAAATGGGTGCACGTTGCATCGATGTCCAACTTTTTTTTTCCGTCGTGGAAATCGGGTGTGCGTTGCAATCGAGGGCGCGGTAGAATCGAGTAAATACGGTATTACTTTGGTTAAAAAAAGATTTACTGTGCTTAAATATTAGCAAGAAAGTTTTGCTACTTGTTGTTGTTTGACTTTATACCACTGCGACACCTTCTACCGATTGAAGCAAACTAGGAAGCTGTTACCAAGGGATGAGAAACACTTGTGGCAATAGTTCTGTAGCGTACCCAACCTTCATGTTGAGATTGTGAACTAGTGAAGTGATGTGCAGTACCCTGATGTTGCGAATGTGAAATACTAGATTAGATTGTACCTAAGGGCAGTAACATCTTAAGTGAAGAGAGCAGAGTTGAAAAGGTCTTGTTTTGCACAATATTAATGCTTCTTGAACAAGGCAGAATTGGCCCCCGGATAAAGTATTGATAACCTTTCTTTAACGATGTTGCTTGAAATGGAGCATTAGTAGCTCCTTTGGGACCGTACAAACGACTGATGTGTTTTTCACGACTTTTCACACTGTTGAAATTAAATTCTCGGTCTAATATTTACGTCTTTTCCAGTTCCAGGCAATTTTGTCTGATGAAACGGCTGTTGAGCAAATACAGAAGAAAGGACCCTTCCGTGCGAGGAAGCCGAAAATGGCACTCTTGAGTGAAGTTTGTGGCCGTGGTAAGTGCAATAAATGTTCTTTTATTCTGTTACCTTCCTACACTGTATTATTCGGAGGTAAAGGTCTTGTAAGGAATCATACTGCGCTCTTAGTCACTGCTGGGGGTGAGGCGATGTTTACTGTGCGGACCAGATGCAATGCTCCATTCATTTGTCCATGATAACGTTCGTGATTCTCACGCACCAGTGTCAACCAGCTTTCGATATCAATAGTGGTACACCACGTTGCATAGTGCTAGTGAAATATACTTACTCACGTGTACTTTCACTGTTTTTCATTCAACCATACACTTCACACCATCATTTCTGTGTGTCCTAGTTGGTTTCATGCTAGGTTCCCCCATTCTTGCCTCGTTGATGCTGGTATTTCAAAACACTGCATTCGACTGCATCATGTGAGGGATCGTCTCACATTTCCAAGGGTAGTAGATAATGCTAAAGTTGTGCTGCAGAACATTTTACTCGTAGATCATAATTTAACAGGATATATTGTTTGTGGATGTGGAAACATGACACTCATCAAGTTGTCATTACGGGGCTATTCTAATTGTTGACATATTATTCTCTTGCTTGCGTTGTTACAAGCACATGAACACTTCGTGCAAATATGTTGGTAACACTCAGGAAAATCAGGAACAATGCTTGGAAACGTGCTGCCTGGAGTCTGCTTGACACATATATTTACATAGCACATGGGATTTACATAGTAGATTTGTTAGGCTTGAAACAATTGCTCACATGTGCACAAATCAACAACTATGGCTCTTTTTTAACTTTATGATATCAATGCCACGTTTTCGTTCACTGTCTAAATGTGTAGTTCTCAGTTTTTTTTTGTGCTTATAGGTCTGTGACTTTGCTTGTGGGAAGATACTTAGTTGATCAACTTCGTTAAATGCAGGTGTTTGAACATGTGTGTTCATCTATAAAAACCTCCTGGCCAAGATTGAGAGTTTCGTCAGGCAGTCAAACACAACTCCAATAAATGACGTGCTTGGCCTCATTGGAACATCCTGTCGGTGTTAGTTTGTTTAAATTTTCAAGAGAGACTGTGTTGTCAGTGTAAAAGAGGTTTAGTTGATTATACTGCTTTTACACCTTATACTAAAAGGATACGTGAATGTTTACTTCTTGCTATATTTATCGTTCACAATGCAGTCGAACCCTGCTACAACGAAACTGACAGGTCGTGGAAAAAGTTTCGTTGAAGCAAAAATTTTGTTGTAGTGAAATCGAAAAAATATAGCTGATCTTTGCTAGCAAAACAAAGGAACGTTCATTCTCAAAATTCAGAAAATGTTCGCTGCTTCCTAGTCTTACCCAGCAGTGTCGCGACGTGATTCTCATCGATGCATAGCGAGGCTATGGGGAAAAGCACACTGAAACAACGCCTAAAACTGCCCTCATGAACGAACGAAACAGTTGCATTGGCACGTCAACACTAGCAGCTGTCCGCCGTCAAAAGTATCTGACAACGCCGAAATGGAGGCAGGCTATCGTGGAGCGGCGATTTTTGCATTATGCTATGCCATTCTTATCATCCATCACTCGCTGCTAGCCGATTCTGTTGATAATGCGGACGAACAACTGCTCTGATTAGTTACCATACTGGCCAAGCGCGAACATTATGATAAGCATCGGCAAAGGCATCGTTCCGCGGTTGCACCCAGCAGCTGCATGAAGGAAACCATGAACTGAGCGACTCAGCTTCAGCTTTGGATCGTTTGCGGCTCAAAACAAGCCAGTGGCAAAAGCAGGGCAGTCTCATTGCCGTCGCTATCGAGCAATGGCCCATGCTTGCTGAACAGCGGCGCTTTCTGGTGGTACCAGCGCGTGCTTGAGACTTTGTTGACGCATTTTCAGGCTCTGAAAATGCATCAAAATCTTTAGGATTGGATTTACTGCATAGAAATAAGTATCTGAACCTGGAATTGCATCGTAAAATTTTGTTGAAGCGAGACGATCGAAGACAAAGTGTTCGTTGTGGCGACTATATTTATGCACTGACTTCTATGGACTGCTGACAAGGAATCGTGAATTTTCCGTTGAGGCAGCATTCACTGTAGCGGAGTGCGACTGTACTGCATGAATACAAGACAGGCGCAGATGTCTGCATCTGGGCAACTAGATTTGAAGGTCAATATTAAAAGGTTGAGAAAACTGACAATTATTTATTGTATGGAAAACTTGTTTCTCTGAATCTGGGTTGCTTATGTGAGGTGTAAATTCTGTGGATTTTGGACTGGAAGGTGTAGCAAGAAATAGTCAAGTAATGTGACAGTGAGAAAAAGAAGTAATTTCAATAAAAAAAATTAATTTTGTTGAACGTGATGGCCAGTGACCTCATTCATGATTTCATGTTGCGTAAACCAAGAGCTCGTCACAATGCCCATTCAACACTTGGAAAGAAAAAAGAAAATGCGAATCAAACACCCAGCATTACTCAGTGTAAAGAAAACTAACGCACACATTCTGCCACGACAGCATGCCATAAGAACATTGGGTACTTCTTGAAGTGGCAAGACACTGTCTCCTCAGTCTGATGAGCGCACAATTCGGAAGACGCTATGTGCCCATTGAGAAAGCTAAAGAGCTGAGAGCTTAGTTGTACTGTAGTTGGTCAAAGTGAGGTCTAGCTGTATTAAACAGCTTAATTTTTATTGAAGTACTTGTTTTTTATAGAAACTTCACACTTCTTTTGTCTAGTTCCTGATCACAGAGATTCGATGTTTCATCAACTTTTTGTAGGGTCTCCCTTCCTGTGGCTGTTTCCTTGCGATTCTGCACCCAGGAATCTCGACGTCATCTCCTATGATGTGTGATGCATTCTCCTCTCTGTGGAGTATCCGGTGACGTGCTGTTATTTATGTGCATAAACTGTGACATGATTTCTAATCATCCACTCTTCCACGTTCCTGACAGTTTCTTTTGTTGGACTGTGTTGATCACGTTTAATTATGAACGGCGATGTATGCGCTTACACTCAGTGCGCTCTAGTAAACATTGACAGCTTTTAAATTTATAACAAATACTTTTAGGAATTAGATTTTTTGAATGTCTGTCTCACTGTTACATTACTATTTGAAATGTGCAAACACACAGCTTTTTCGCATACATCGCATATTGTTGCTTTGAGGAGCAACGAGGCTCTGGCAAACCTGTGAAATTTTGACTGATTGCTGTGTGTATGATGATTAAATAAGGGTCTCTTCGTGCATCCCGTAATTTTTTTCCGGAATAACCGAAAAAGGCTGTGGTGCAGTGAGTAATATAGGGCTGATTTGAGAGTTAGTGCGAATGCACAAATGTCTCGTTTATCTGCCAATATCGTATCGAAATTTTGTAACTGGTCTAAATGTAAGATGCGAACACAGGTGCATCCCCCTAAAGGAGTGTGCATGTCAATAATGATGAATGTTTCACCTTGGTAAAGTTGGCTGTGGTTAGTGTGAGACGTCATGATCAATTAGTTCATAAGGTATGTGAGGGTTGTCTGTACAATAAGGTCCCTAAGGAACTGAAGTCGTGAGGAATGCTGTTACGCAAAATCCAGCTACACTGGTGTGCAGCTTGGCTCTTTTTCTGCTATTTCGCACCTTGGTGAACTATCTGTCTCACTTGCTTCTCCTACAAGGTGCAAATGAAGCTCCGTGATTTATTTGTTCGTTTGTTTATGTGAAAAAGCACTGCTCCAGTAGACATTTATTTCCACCTGTGTAAAGTCTGGAGAGAAAAGGCGTTTGAGTGCACAACATGTGGGAAAATGCTGCAGTAAATTCAAAAATGGACACACAGACTTCCATGACTAACAGCACTCTGCACGACCACCGGTTTCTGACGAAATGACATCGAAAGTGGAAAAAATAATGCTGAAGGATCAAGGGACGACAGCTTGGCAGCTATATGAGATGATGTGAGCATCATATGGCAGGGTTGGGAACCTGAAGCTTGCATGGCAGTATTATGCGGCCCCTAACATGGCATCAAATCTCCCTGCTCCTTTTTTTTGCCACTTCCTGCGTGAAGACCATCATGACTGTTTGAAAAATGGTATTTTCGCTTGTATTCGCTGTTTCATTAGAACTTTGTGACCTGCGTGCTGAAAATGCTAACGATTTTCATTCCAGTTTAGAAAACTAGTGCTAATTTGCCAAATATTTATGCTTTGCCAGCATGTGCTCTCCCTCCCCCACCCCTTCCTAATTTTCACGTGGCCGCCTGCTCATTGACTTCATGCAACTTGGCCCTCCACCTCAAAAAGTTGCCGACATCTAGGGGATGCCGGGGTGGTGCAAGGTGGGTCTCGAACAGGTTACCAGAATAGAAGCGATTCCCTCAATGCAGACATCCAAGAAGTTCATACAAACACTGTGTGCCAGCAAATTGATGGTGGGCGTCTTTTGGTAGAGGAAGGGATAATTGTAGTGCGAATTGATGTGTGCCGGTACAACAATCAATGCGGACCACTACTGAGAGACATTGATGATCCTTTCTTGCAAAATTCAACACAAGAGGAGAGGCATGTTCGTAAAGAGAGCGTTTTCATCACAACAATGCTTTGCCGCACATCACCTGTGTAACAAATGTTCTCATCATTGAATTTTGATGACACACTGTCACAAGCCCGTCCTACAGCCCCGGCTTAGTACCAAGTGATTACCATCTCTTCCCTGAACTTAAGGAACACATGCGTGAGATGCATTTAAGAATTGAAGTGATGCTCAAAGAGAAGGTATTAATTTACCTTCACAGCGCAGCGGAAGAGTTTTACAAATGAGATATACAAGAAGATAGTATGCCATATTCAAAACCAAAAGTTGATTTAAACGGTGATTATGTGGGAAAATTGGGAAAGTCCAGGCTTTAAAATTTTTTTTCAATGCCAGGAAACATGTCTTCCATTGTGAAAAATTATTTGGAACCTTACTTTACAAACAATCCTCATAAAATTGAAATCATTGAGAACATCATATATAGCACGGTTATTTGTACTGCATTTCTCATAAACCCACATGTTCATTTAGATGTAGCCAAAAAAAAAAAAATGGTCACTCAGTTTCTTCTATACTCTCACGTAGTCCTATGTATATTGATTTGAGATATATTGTATGGCTGTAACCAGTCAATCTTTAGAGCAGGGATAATGTTTGGTCCAAGCAATGCTGTAGCTTGGATGCTTCATCCAAAAATGGTGAAATTATTTCTTTATGTGCTATATTTGTATTAAGCAAAGTTAGTACAGGTAATGAATAGTCGTGCTTTCATAAGAGTAAGCCTCTATGTACTAGTTAAGACTGGGCAGTTACCTTTTGCGTATTTTAAGAGTGTACTTTTCAAATTGTCTGCATAATTTAAGATGTCTTCACTATTGTGTTTTCGTTGATGAACAATTTTTGCGCGTTTCTCGTAGACAGAGAACAAAAACTAAAAATTGTTGAAAAGGGCTTTTGTATCTTGAATATGCTCTCAATCGGCTTTTCCAATTCTCCCGAAATGCGAAATATTAACTAATAAAGGGAGACTAAAGTCAATTAATAATTTACATCAGAGTGAAAGCCTAATGTATGACATCTAAAACGACACTATTAACGGCGGTGGCCTACATACTGAGAAAGTGAGGCAAACGCACAAGAATACATGCACCACACTAGGACATTCTCAAAATGATCCCGATGACATCAGACCAACCGCCTACAATTTATCACTACAAATTGATCTAGCTACACTAAATAGTGAACATTCTGTGCATGAAGAGGCATAATAAAACGCTGCTTGTTTGTTTCTATTTGGCTTATGGAAAAAAGAACCGCCGGACATTACTATGGGGAATGGTGTGACTGGTTAAAAAATACCATTTTCGCCTGGTTTAACTGGACAGGTCGTGCTGTCTAGTGGGGCCCAGTCAAATCAAGCACGCCTGCAATTTAGAAGGCCATGGCTAAAAATTCTTCTATGGTCATTGTTGCTGCTGTGGTTCCCACTACTTTACCTCTGCTGCTACTATAGTGTCGGTGGCCACGCATTAAAGCTGGGCAAAGTTGTGCACGGCAACAGTGACATCAGGCGTTCCTTTTAGGCGGGTAATTTGAAGTGGGCTTGCCAGAAGCGGGCCACTAAGACACGATTTCATTTTAGAATAAGCTTTTTCTTGGCACAAAAGTAACACTATGAAGTTTTTGAACTGCTATAATAAATGGCCACTCACTAGGTTTGAAAATTTTGAGCTGACAAGCGCAATGCATAGACGAGGCGAGGCATTCATGATCATGTCTGCCAAAATTTGCAACGCTACGCGCCGTGGAAATGGATTAAATTTCAAGATGAACGCTGCTCCCCCTCCCCTCTGCCGGCGTGCGTCTAGAGAATGAGGGCATGACGTGTGCGTATGAATGGCCCTACCTACACGGCAATGCAGTGACGTTGGTCCTCTACGTAGACGACTCTGCTCTCACGTTGCAAACAGTGGCACGTGACATGGCGAAAAATATTCAACGCGGCATGCGTATTTTATGTAATTTGTTGCTTGAAGAGAATAATAAAGCTTTGAATAAGTAATGAAACTCAATAAGGGAATGTGAGCGTCTCTTTTCCATTTTTCTCCCGTGAATCGCAACGAGATGCGGGGCTCATGTGTCGGCGTTTCGCATGCGTTCGTGTACCCGCAGTCAGGGCATCGAGCAGACGACCACCGTGGAACGCTCTTACGCATTTGCGCACTCATTGTGCTCATCTATTCTATCGCGTCTAAGCCAGCGTTTCCAAACCATCCTGCAGAAACGGGCAGAAGGTGACAAAATAACGCCAGTCAACAAAGCAATGCTGCTCGCGTGCTCAGGGATTGGACTTGTTTGGGCATGTCACGCGCACGTGACCACTTGGTCGGATGCTGGAAAAGGTGGGGAAGAGATGTGTCTTGCGAAGGCTACGCGATGGAGCGGCAAGAATTTTGAGCTCGCCTCCTCACATCCTCGTTTGGCGCCGCTTCAAAAAACCAGTTTTTTGTGCTCGTGATGAACTGATTCAAAAAGCTTTGTGACAAAATGTTCCTCATCGAACACCCAACAACTTCCACTGTCTAAGTGAAATTGGGTATGGGGCCTGATGAGTGGCCCTTTAACAATCAACATCGACTTAGTCTCCCTTTATCAAGGTTGAGAATGCCTCTTTATCATGTGAACATTTAGTATATTGTTGTAAAGAATGTGCACTTTGTTTGTTGCAGCCAAAGGATATAAAAAAATGTGTAATATACGATGTGGCAGTCTGTCAAATGTAGTCATTTTTGTTAATGGATTGGTTCCAGTGGTGTGGTACCCTTTCTAATTTTTCACTTCATCTTGTTGTACCTGTAAGCAGTTAGCTTAATTTTATGAAGCACAGTGTACTCTAAGTCTTGTGGTTCATTTGCAGTGCAATATGTTTCTGTATTGAATTTAGGTCAACATTTTATTGTATAGAGTTTTCAGGATGTAAAGGTTTATATGACACAAGATAACTTACAAGGGCCGTCAGATATTTCTGCTTTCTGTAATGTTGCTCTAGCTAAAGAAGTGGCTGATCTCAAGCAAGGATCATTCGACGACCATTTTTAATGCAAAGCATTATGAGGTGGGTCGGGTGACAAAGTTCTGTGCAAAGCTGGAAAATCCGCTTGGTCCCAGCCGAAACTTGCAGAAGGAAACGATTTCAGGGTACCAGTGAAATGTGAAAAGAAAAACCAACTTGGACAATACACCCACAAGGGGAAACACACTCAAGATGCAACCTAAGAAACACATGAAAAGGGAAGTAAAGCTGGAGGTTCATGTTTGGGGTGTTGATAAGACAATATGTGTAAGGGTAAATGTAGATTTTTTATTGATACTGGGAAAACAGTGCAGATCAAGTTGACCATCTTACAACACTACTCATATCGGATAAAGTTTCATCTCAGGGTGTTATGCCAATTTTCAGCATTGCGGTTCCGTTGAAAACCTAGTGAGATAAAAAAAAGTGCGGCAAGAGAGACGATGCTAGGTTGCATTATCATATCAGACGGGGACCTTGTGAGATCCTTTTCATTAGCATGGTTTCGATTCCTGCAGTTGTGATCGTCATCTTGCCGGCACATTAGGGTCATTAGAGCTAGGGCATGCATGGTGAATTGACCATTATAATAAAATTTCACCTTCAAGCTTTGGCATCTCTCATAATCATATCATGGTTCTGGGACATA